CTTTGGCACAACCCATTACTATTCTCATTAGTTCAGTAAGTGTTATTTTGGAATGGCAAATTTAACTCAATTTTCTTTGGGACTTAGGGTTTCTATGTTGGTTGATTTAAGTGAACTAAACTAATCAATCAACATTAGAAATCCTAAACATGCATCTAACATCGCAATTATATAAGCAAAATATATAAAGCATAATAAAGATTCATTTGGCAACTAGCATGACCCCTTGAACTTGAATCTTCAAATCTTTAAGGGCCTTCGTTGCATCCTCTTGGCTCGTCTTCTTAGAAACGTCGTCTTCGAGACATCACCACAAATTATGCAACTACTAGAAAGGCTAGGACTAATCTAAATAATTTAAGTACAAAAATACTTAATGGCACGCAGTCCGTATTTACTATCTTAGTCGGGCCCTACTAGTTGCCATTTTGTAAAACTTGTGATAGAATATTCATTCCATTCACTAATATGAATGGCCCATGCATTTTACACAGAATTCATGCAACAATACAAAACGAGTGCAAAACTAGTTACTAACTTAGGTGGTTAATCCTATTAATGCGCCTAATTAAAACTAGTCAAAGTTGTTAACCGATTATGTAATTAAATGCAATAAAATTAGCTCAAATAATTAATGAAGCTCCCATTAAATTCCGCATCCATCTTATTTAAAATTAAGCCAATTAATTTAATTAAGCTGTTTTACCCAAATTTTGCCGAAATTATTTTGCAAGTGTCGAGAAAAACCGAGGCCTAGCCTCGTTTTAATAATTAAATAAATAATTAAAAACGACAAAAATCGCATAGCTCTACGATGCTCGAGTGCCTAGCACCAAGCAACGAGGCTTTGTTTGCTAGGCATCGAGCCACAGCTGCCTTGCGTGGGTGCTACCCCGCCTGCTTGTGGCTGACAGCATCGCACCATGTGCATTATGCTGGCCACAGCAGTGCGCTTGCAATGCTAGCAAGTGCGGGCCTCAAAGGCCCTTGCTATTGTGCGAGTTGACCCTGCCTAGCAGCCGCACAACACACCTCGCATAAGCACCCTCCCCGCACCATGCGCAACAAGCTCGCACACACTCACGCACCAGCAGTCCACACAACCTCGACAACCACATGCAGGCTACGCAAGCAGCCGTGCTGGCCAAAAGATGTGATCGAGGCTTCGTGCCTCGATTTGCGTGCTTGTGCCTCGGGATTATATCCCAATTTTGTGTGATATAAAATTAATTCTAAATTATTCTTAGAACCAACATTGAGCAAAAGGAAAATAAAACAAGTCCAACTTAAATAAATTCAATTTTTATTGCACAAACCAAAATAGAACCATTCTTTAAATTTTTTTTGGCTCAACTTGATGCTACAAAAATTGAGGGCTATTCTCACAATTAGTTTAACCAAACATAAATTAATAATGAGATTTGACAAAATAAAAGGAGTTGGAAAAATAAGAACAATCATCCAATGGAAAATTTTCCAACACTAACTTATGTAAACTTGAAAAATTACATCCTTCCAATATGAAGGGTAATCAAATTTCAATCACAAGTTTGAACTTTTAAGATTTTAATCAACTCAAAAATGATTAAAATCAAAATTAGTTTAACGTAGAATTTAGAAAGTTAAGTTCCAACCAAATAAACAATTAAAGATTGAATCTTAAACATTTTAGGGGCTTCAAAACTACAAATTCACCATAAATATTCACACTTGAAGCAATTAATTTGCAAAAATGTGAAATTGCAAGTTTATGTGAAAAATGAATTCACCAAATTAAGCACTAATTATGACTTCATAAATATGCTTAATAAGTGTTATTATTGCAGTAGATTAATGGTGTAACTGTACACATAATCTAACTTAACATGCCATAATTAATCAAGCTTTAAAGATTTAAAATTTTTCGTTTAAAACGAAAAATCCCTCAAAAAACATGTTTTTGGGTGGATTTTGGCTTCTGGAGCCTCCACAAAGTGATTCAAAAACGCTTTAGAATGTTGATTCCACCCAAAATTCACTATTTTTGGGTCGAAATCTGGGTTCTTTAGCCAAAATTAGTATAAATACGAGATTAAACTAATTAAAACGAGCTTCTAATCTAATTAGAAAGCAAAACCAGTAATTTAAATCCATTAAAATCACCATAATTAATTAATTATTAGTTACAATAATTAAATGCATGCGGCTCTGATACCGTTGGGTTTCATGATGTCCAACACCAAGCAGAAGGAAACCCGCCCAAACATTAGACTGAGCCTAAACTAAACCTTACCTACGACCTAATGACCATGTGGAGGGTCCATTAACCTTTAACATCATTCCTAAAACCCTTAGGATTAAATATTAGCTTCTAGAATCCTCTAGAAGATTCTAATTTATGCTGTTTTTGAAAAGATAAAGACTTAGAATTTTATATCGGATAAAACACTTGTTTTTCAATAGGTTTAATTCTGATAAAACTAGAATACGTACGGAGATACGATTAACCCAATTTGATTGAAGGTCGGATTTCGTACGAATTCTATCTTCCAAAAATATCGCTAGACGATGCTTAATCGCAGCGATATAAGTATGTCGCGCCGCGATATAGCTGGCGTTTCGCTATACGATTAGTTTTACTCCGAGTTGAATTCTGACTCTTTTCTGATCTTTTCCCTTGTTATTCTTTATAAATAGAGGACGTTTTCCTCCGTTTTCATTCACCAACAATCATCATCTTAATCCCTCTCTAAAGCTATAAGCTTGTCGTTCTCTCTCTCTCTCTTTCTTGGCCTTAGCCTAAACACTTCACACAGAATACGTCCTTTGCGAGACTTGAATACTCCAAGCCCTTCTCGTAGTTGCCTTCTACCTTGACGTGAAAGGTTGATAGTTCTAAGGGTTTGGTCCCTAATCTATATTTCAATTCTTATTTATTTATTTGTTTGGTTCTTTCTTGAAGTTACTAACGTGTTTATTATTTTGATAGAAAGAGGTAAGAGGCATCAAAGTGAGTAGATCTACTATTCTTATTCTTTTGATATAGAAATTATGCTTAGAATATTATTTTAATTGCTAGTATCATGTTAGGGTGTTATTTTAATATTCCTAATATTGTCATGCTTTCTAGTATCATGTTTAGGTTAAATATTTGATCTTTATTATTTAGTGACATGCTAGGGTTTGTTATTAATCTGTTTAGTATCATGCCTAGGATTTTGCTATTAATCATGTTTTTATGATGTTATACTGATGATGATTGTTGTGTTAATTATTATTACATTGCTTGATTATTCATGATTTATTGTTATTGTTTAATCACGCTCTTTCTTGCAGGTTTAAAGGGAATTTGTACTTGAAATCACGCCTAATAAGATAATTAATAATTTGATTTTAGGTTAATATGATTTTAATTCAAGTGATCGCCAATAATAGATTTATTTGTGCATTAATAACCAACCAACATAGAATAAACAGGTTTAGGGCTAACTTGTTGTATGTATGTTGATCGGAAAGCACACATGAATATCATAAGAATCAATTAGAGGCCGATTTAGGGCGGGTTCAATCTCTTTTAGGTTGGATTCGTACCATCATCCCCAAATATCTAGTCATGGTTGCAGACCACTATAGAGTTAGTGATTTTTGTGATCGTGAATGGGGTGTAACCTTCACACCCGTGAACGGTTTACAAGTTCTTGAAACTTGTTGGCGACTCTTTTATCTCTAACTTATTTCCCTTTGGACGCCACTAGACCTGGCAAATGGGTCATTCGGGTTGGGTCTGGGTCGGGTCACTTTCGAGTCGGGTCATTTCGGGTTAGTTCACATTCGGGTCGGGTATGGGTCAGATCCAATCGATTTGGGTTTCAGGTCAACTTCGGGCTAGGTATAGGGTCGAGTTCTGGTCGAGTCAATTTCGGGTCGGGTATGTTCGGGTCAAGTATGTTCGGGTCATATTCGGGTCAGGTCAAAATCTGGCCGGGTCAAGTTCAGGTTGTTTCATTTGTGAATCAAGCTCAAATGAATAATTTTATACGGAGTATATATTTTGTTACTGTTATAATAAAAACTATCACTTCAATTTATGAGCTTAGCTAAGGTTGAAGATGAACAATTTGAGTTACTTTTGGTACAAGACATTTTAAGTTCAATTATAAGGTAATTTTAGTTCGGGACATTTCGGGTATCGGGTCTGTTCGGGTCAATTTCGGGTATCGGGTCTGTTCGGGTCACTTCAGGTGTCTGGTCAGGATTGAGTCAACTCCATTTTCGGGTCAGGTATGGGTCGGGTCAATTTCGGGTTTTGGGTCAATTTCGGGTAATGGGTCGGGTCATCAGGTCTGGGGTCAGGATTGCCAGGTCTAGACGCCACCATGCTTAAATGCATGATCATAGTGGGCCTCAAAGTTGATGTTTGAAATATTCCCTACATGTACGAAGTATCTTTTACTATTAAGGGGTCGTTTGGTTCGCACGGGGTAATCGGAATGGAATGAATAAAGGGAAAGAATCGGAATGGAATGAAAAACCCCCAATTTTGCTATGTTATTTGTTTTGAATAACAAAGGGAAACAAGCTACCACTTCCACCACCACACCACCACCACACAATACCTATTTTAGACCTTCTCCAGCCACCACCAAGATACCATACCACTCGCCGCCCCTCCACCACCACTCGCCGCCCATCGCCGGAGCTCCCCCGTCCCCTCCATCCCTTTTCCCGTAAAATAGCAGGCCGATCCTCCTCCCACCCGAGGGTAAGTCACCATGTTGGTTTTTGTAGAAAGTCACCATGTTGGTTTTTGTAGCCAAGCCCACTTATGAAATTAAGGCATTTAAGCAGAAAAAGATTGGACAATCATTTGAGAGCAAAGAGAGTACAAAACAACGTAGAGAAGAGAGCAAAGAGAGTACAAAACAACGTAGAGAAAAACAACGTAGAGAACAATTTAAAAACAAAAAAAATGAAAAAATATAAATAAATAAATAAAACAGAAATTTTGTAACGTCGCTTACTTTGTGTTTTCTGAAAATTTGCTTGATGTGTTCCCTTTTTCCATGCATTTGATTAGTTGAAAAGCTTTTTCCAACGCTTATTAACTTTGCAGCACCAGGAACATCTATATTCCACCTGCTCTCTTATCTTTTATAGCCTAATCATATAATGCACATTGACTTATTTTACTTATAAAGGTAAATTTGGTTGCACCTACTTCGTACAACTAATAATTTGTATTAATATTGGTGAAAAAGTAGAAATCATACTCGACTTTTGCTAGCCATATTAAAAAAAAAAAAAAAAAAAAAAGGTGTAGTCATATTAATATTTTTTTTTTGACAAGGTAGACTTAATCCGTGCAGGTTTCAGGATTTATTGCTTATGGGTTTAGACTCTTCGAGCACATACAATGATACAATTAAATAAAATATTATACTCTAAAATACCAATTATAATTATTAATTTGGGTATGCAAATTTGCACCAAAAAAATTGGGTGTGATTTATAATAACTTTACAAAAATAAGTAAATAACATGTAAACTATTCAAGAAACCAAAATACTATAGTAAATTCTAAAATTAACAACTCATACATCATAGCTGTAAAAATAAGATGGGGGAAAATGCATGTCAGGAAGTTCGAACCGCAGCCCACTTGTGTCTAAAGACAATGCTTCTACCGCCAACCTACCGAGCATAGCATTACTAACTTTAGCGTGTTAAAATATTATAAAGTAATTTTATGTTTTCCAAACTTACCAGATTTTTTTACGGATCTAGTATGGGTTCAGCTGAACCCATACTAGAACCGCCCCTGGACTCAATAGTTTTATCAAAATAGACTCATAAGTTAAACAAAGACTGGCAAATTTTTATCATGTTTTTATAAAACAAGAAATGTTACGTTAAAATTATAGACATTAACGTTATATATTATCTCAAATAGATATAGAAAAGATATAATTGTGCGTTTCTTTAGAGATATCTGATAAAATTTATTTGGAAAAATATAATTGTGATTAAGTTACAATTTTGAACTCTTTCAAAAAGAAAAAAAAAGTTCTGATTTTGAAGTTTAGATAAAACGTCCATATCTTTTTGGAATCTCTTTTGTATCTCCATAGCTTCATGAAAAGGTATAAACATGTAATTAAAATCATTTAAAAATAAATCGATTAAAATAAGTAATTTTTTCAATAGTACGTAGTTATTGGATCAGTTGTGACTTTAATAACAATGATTAAAAAGGGGTTTATTAGATTGGGATAATCCAAAATAAAAGTGTAAAATATTTTTAAGAAATTAGTGAAGACGACCTAGACGTGAAATATGACCTAACTTTTTACGATTGATTCTCATCCTTCTTAAGAAGATAACATATAAAAAGTCTGAACATATGTAGTAGATAATATGTTCAAACAACTAATAATTTCATCATATGTTTAACCTACTAACAATAGAGTTGGTGTGTTCACACAAGTACAGACCAAATTAGGGAGGTGGTGTTGATCTTGCTTGGTTCGAGGCCCTGGGTCTGGGTTTGAGCCTCAGTCTTCGGTTGGCTGGCTATACAACCGGAGGCATTCACAAAAAGAAACGAGTCTTACAATCCGGAATAACTATTGTAATCTTTTGACTTGTTTAATGCTTTAATCTAGTTTTATTTTTGATGTACCGCTTGATTTACCCTTTGAGCTAATTCAGATTTGGGGCTCAATTTTGAGTAGTTAGGTTCAAATACCCTCTTAATTAATGTTATGGGACTGAATACAAGATATACAACAAATTTTTTAGTGAGACTTCTAATGGTGTATTTGTTCTATGTGGGAATAAAACAAGTGGCAAGGGCACATCTAGCTAATAGTGAGTATCTAAAAGAATGATAATAATAAACAAACTTTCTTACCTTTTTTTAGCCCATTTGTTATTTTATATAGACCAATCCCTAATACTTCGTATATAATTTGCCGACAAACCCGCTTAAAAAAAAAAGAATCTGATCATCACGGAGATACCATTTTTAATCAAATAGACCCATACGTCTATATTCTCCCTTTTATCCCAGTAAAATTGCTCCTAATTTTTTTTTTTAATGTCCCATTGTGATTTCCCTAGCAATAACAAAATTTTCTCCAGCAAGAATTAAAAAACAACAATTCTATTATCGGCCAATCCAACAAGACCAATTTTATTGGCTGATTAAGAAATTTGAGTGAAAACAAACTACAAACCGAGCCTAATTCATCCTTACAACAGAAGATAAAAATTTATAGATAATTGCTCGAATTAAACCTACATACTACGCAGACAATCATATGGAATTGGCAATTCTAAAAAAAACAAGATTACCGATAAAGATACAAGAAAGAAGAAATTAAAAAATTTACCTGATTTTTCTGATGTAGAGCTTTTTCTGATCATATCAGTATCACCACTCTCAATTCAAACCTGTTGTATAAAATCCTCTATGGTTTTTTTTTTTTGTTTGTTTTTGACTTAAAAAAGATGTAGTTTTTTTGTTAAAAAGTGAAAGCCTTATTTTCTGTTAGTTTTGATGTAATTCAAACTCTTGAAAGTTAGGTAGAAGATAGCTATATCGAACGAGGGAGGGCGGCTTTTGATTTTTCAAGTTCCGTGTTGTGTTTTGAATCTTAACGGTCAAGTATTAAAATATATTTCATCAAATCTTATTTTATACAGTAAGAAACTTCTCCGAGTTTATCAAAAAACAAAAAAAAAAAAAAAAACTTTCCCGCGTTTTTTTTTTCTTCTTTTTTTTTATATTGGCTTTATTATTAGGAAATTAAAATCCAAACTTGATTCAAATTGGCTTATTAATTTGAATTGAAGTTGTTTCGGGGTTTTCTGAAGTGTCCTGCGGGAGAGTTACAATTCCAAGAATGCCCTTCGATCGCCTGTACCTGCAAAACCACGAAGACTCCGGTTGGGTGGAGCTCCGCCTCCGACGATCAAGTCAGTGATGTACGGGAGGAAGAAAGTGCGTAAAGCGTTAAATTACTTCTCGCGTAATGGGAGAATTCCGCAATTAACATTGCTCGATTTTGGTGTAAGTGTATTTATGATTGTGTTGAATGCCCCATTAATGAAGATTCTCCCACTATTTATAGTGGGGAGCATTGGTTCCCCATTTAGGGTTCCTAGGACACGTGTCAGCAGGGGATTGGAGCCCTGCTGACCAATGGCAAGGTGCCACATGTCGCTCAGCCATTGGGCCACGTGGCTGGGGTAATTTTACCCCAAACATTTGCCCCTCTCAGGTGCTGACGTGGCAAGGTGCCACGTGGCACCTGAGAAGAGAGCTGACGAAAGAAGATGATTTTTATTTATTTTTTTTTTAAAAAAAAAAAAAAAAACTTTCAAATTCTAACTGAAGGAAGAGGGAAAAGCAGAAGGGGAAGGGTCGCGCCCCTTCACCTTCCGGGACAACCCCTATGAATTTTCTTGAATTTTGAGAGCATCCGGTACTTGAAATTCAGAGCACACGGAGATTTGAGTTTTAAGAGCAGCCGGTTTTCAGACCGCCTGTGAAGTAGCAAGCACACAAAAGATTTTTGAGAGGGTACCTCAGAGAACCCAGCCGGTATTCAAACCGCCTGTGTCTTCGCAAGCATCCCCAAGAAATTTCTTGAGGTTTTCAACACTTTACTCTAGGTACCGTCTCTATTCTTTCTTGCTTTTCCATGTATTTCCGTTTGCGTCTTTTTCTTGCATTTTTGTTTATAAGTCCCATAGGTAGATGGACCCTTTATACCCATACCCGGACCATAGTTGTGAACTCAGCCGGTCAATTGATACGGCTGAGTCTAGAACTGGATCTGCCGCCTCTGATCTTTGGAATTTCGCCTTTTCAACGCCTGTATCGACCGAATCCGTGTCTGTGCAGGACACCATGGCCAGAATTAGGGGAACAGCTATGGACCCCAATTACAGAGGGGGGGACTCAAACGAGTTATCGCCTGAAAATCAAGGCCCAGACGGGGAGGTTAGAGAACCATCCGGCGGTACCCCCGCCACCCCAAGCGATAACATTCTAGGCTCCTACAACGAGGAGACCTCTCCGGCTGAGGAGACTGATCAGCCAGAAGCTGCCAATGAGGCTCCCAACTCCCCATCCGGCTTTGATGACGGTCTGGTTGAAAGCAGTAGCTCCAGCTACTTAACTGTGTCAGAAGATAGCGAGGAGGCGGAGAGGCCTTCGTGGCAAAGCCGAAACGACCCTCTCATGATCGCCGTCTCCTTGAAGGACCGCGCCCTCATGCGGTCTTCTCTACAAGACTTTATCACCAGGCGGCCGCTTGGTGAAGGATACAAGATGACCGTACCGGGGGAGTTCGGGACGGTTGTATGGGAAGATGACCAGCCCAACGCTAACGGTTGGTTTGGATGCTATGAGGCAGCGTTCCTAGCCGGCGTCCGCTTCCCCCTTCACAACACAATCAAGGCCATACTTAGGGGGTATGGCTTAGGCGTTTGGCAGCTCACCCCGAATTCTTGGGTGAATATATTAGGGTACATCGCCGCCTGCGAGATGCAGGGTCTCAACCCCGGCTGGGGGGCGTTTTCCCATATGCACTATCTGAGCCGGAGCCCAGGCGGCTGGAGGGCCTGGTAAACCTTGACAACTCACCCCCAATACATGATGGCCTTGGACAAGCCGTCTAAATGGTCGGACTGGAAGAACCGGTTCTACCTGGTCAAGGCCTCGTCTGAGGAGTAAAACAAGGAGTACCGGACCTACAACCGGAAACCAGAGCTTATGGGGCAGAAGTGTCGGCTGCCCCCAGTTCCTGATAATGATAGGAGGGCCATTCTGGACTCCGAATTTTTTGATTTGACCTCTACCTCTCTCTCATCCGGAGAGATAATAAGGGTACCCAAGAACTGGGTGCCCAAACACGAATTTTCAAGGACGAGTGCTTCTTGTCCGCCTGTGGGTTTAGCGGCATGTTTAAGACCAAAGGTTACGAACCCTAGCCGGTTAATTTGATGTCGGCTGACCCTTTTCTCTTGATTGCAATGAAGTTCATATTTCTAACCGGATGTACTTTCGTTTTGCAGAAGAAGCTAAGAAGATGCTGCCCACCGCCAAGACACCCACAAAAAAGGCTTCAGATATCCGAAAGGAGAATTTGGAGAAGAAACTTGCTGCTTAGGCGGCTAAGAAGGGTTAGCCCGCCTGACCTTCTCTATGTGTTTGCTTTGGTTGTTGTTTTAGCTAGTTATTCATCTAACCGTTTGTGGTCTTATTTCAGGATGGGGGTGTTATTCCCCGTTCCTTGCAAAAACAGATCCGGCAAAGGCCGTCTGTTGAAGAACCGGCACTCAAGGTGCCGAGAACTGCTTCTACCGACCAGGCTACTACCGGCGGTAAATCAATAAAGACCCCAGGCGGGTCTAACACTGAGAAGGCCTTAGAGGCCACTCCAATAAGGACCGCAACCGGTCCATCTGCTGCTGGAAGCCAAAAGGCTTCCCAAAAAGGTACAAACCCTTTCAACCTCACATTGCTCGACATACCCATGCGGGTAAAATCGTACTCCTCTTCGCAGCCGGGAGATTCTCCGATCAGCCGGCTGTCCGTTGGTAGGGCATACGCAGCATTTTCACCGTCTGTTTCTGGTGTAGATAACTCACCGCGCTGGCCGGACGCTGCTCAATATGCCCGGGCCATGATGAAAGCCGTCCCCCGGGACGAGAAGGAGGCGATTCCTGGAATCAATACCTTCAATGCCGACCGGGTTATGGTCGACCTGGCCGATGTAAGTAACTGAGTACCCACCCGACATATAATTTGTAATATACCCATCTGGTCTTTCAACTAATACCGGTTGTGTTGTTGTTGCAAGCACTGCTCCGCGTGGAGGGGCTTAAGAAGGCCTACATCCGCAAACAGGAAGAGGTAAGAAGAGCCAAACTTTCTGCGGATGACGCACATAGCGTTGCTCACTATTCCATGATTGTGCATGATTTAGAAACTAAAGCTATAATCATGCAACAGGCGGATCAGGTCAAGTCCCTCCAACGGGCCCTCTCGGAACAAAAGCTCAAAATGGACAACCTCCAGGCGGCCCTGGATAACGCTGAAGATGAGCTGAAAAAGCATGAAGAGCCCCTCAAACGGCTCAACCAGGCGGAGAAGAGCAGCAAACGGATGCAATTAGAGAATGACCGCCTGGTCAAGGAGGCTGCCGATGCTCAGCGCAATTTCCAGTCCACCCTAGAGGCCGATCAGAGCCGGCTCATTGAGGAGAATGAGCAGGACTGCCAAAACAGAATGAAGAAGGCGTTCTCCATCATCCACCCGGGTGCAGACTACAACATCTGGGAGCTCGCCTACAAATACGCAGACCTGGCCATTCTGGCTGAAGAGGAGGGCCAGCCGGGGCCCGAACCGTATGAGCAATGGGTGGAAGCCGAGTTCCAGCGAATGCAAGCGGAAGCGGCTGCTTTGGAGGCGACAGTCGAGGATGAGGTTGCTCCTGGCTCCGTCCCCAACACCGACCCAGCTCATCCGGAAGGGAGCCAGGCTCAGGGCGACCGGGTAACAGTGCAGCTAGAGTAGCAACGACCTCCCGGCCTGCGCGCCGTGCATTATCTTGTAATAGCGCCGGAAGGGTCGGATTACTCTGCTGTTGTTTTTTATTTTGAGCACTGATAGTTTCACCGGCTGTGCTGGTTTATCTTGTAAACAATTTAACATTCTCACCGGCTATGCCGGTTATTTCTGCTATATTTCTACCGTTGGTCCGGTTTTGAATGAATTTGCTTCTTTTAATGTCGCATCTTTCTTGCTTTGATAATTTTTGCAAGGATAGCCAAGAAAACCCAGCCGGCATCACCGCCGTCTGTGTCTTCGCAAGCTAGGCAAAGAAATTTGTGAGGGTAGGCAAAGAAATTTGCAAGGGTAGACAAGAGAACCCAGCCGGTATCATTGCCGTCTGGGTCTTCGCAAGCAATTCTATTTTTTTCCTTGTGTAAACTATGGTGGTAGCAATCATGAGTATTGGTCTTTTTCAAAAGTCAAACCATGAATGTTTTTCCGCATGCTTTTTGAATGAATGTGTTTCCGCATGACTTGTTGGGATTAGGGTAGGTAATTGCCCCTGGATAGGAGGCTGGCATAGACGAAATGGTGCCAGGCGGCTATCCATATGCTATAGCGCAAATGCTAACGACTTTAGCTAAGTGCTAAGTGTCAACCGTTTTTACCGATTTGCCGGCTGGGTTTTTGGGAAAGACCTTTTCGAAGGATTTAGGGTGTCAATTTGCCGGTTGGGCTTTTGCAAGAACACCCTTCACAGATTATTGGCCTATCCCAAATTTTTGAGGCCTGCCTTCTCTTAGTCGATTAGGCGGTATGTTGAGTACCGACTGTCTGTTTCGAGATCAGCCTTAATATGGTACTTGATCCAAAGAGGGGGCCGGTTGCATGTTTGGGAATGCTAACCCACAATTCTTTGGTGCTATGGATCACTCAGGCGGTTAAGACCGCCTGATTTTTGATCACTAGAACAATTTTCCACCCAAATGGGAGATGTTCTCTTCGATGAATTCACCCGGATGGGCGTCACCGGCTAGTTCATTAAATTTCCGGGCCCG